AACACCACTGGTGTGACGATGCAACTCGAAGCGTAAGTAGTTACTTTCATAACAACCTAAATGCTTCATTGAATAACGTAGTACCGGAGGGCACATAACACGTTTATGTTCTTAGTAATCATCAAAATTTCTCCTGATTCACTAAAACACACGAAGTAGAGAAGCATGAATGTCTAGACAAAAGTTCCATCTATAAGATTGATTCTAATCTTCCAAATTCTGCTAGAGAATTATCATATTTTGACGGACCAAATAACTGGTTGTATTTGAAGTAGTAAGAATGCATTTAAAGTATACAAAAAAAAATACAGGAGATACTCGAGGTGTGATATGAAAAACGTTATTAGCAACTACCAATTAACATCATTCATATTTCAGTAATTCTTGTCTTGCTAAGCACAAGAAAGAATTGTTCATTGTAGTGACTCAAAAATGATTATAAGTTCCTGCATTAGAACATTCACAAGGAATTCATTTTATCTAAAGATTGAGGGAAAAAAAGCTTTTTTCGCTATAGCTTTTGTATGAAAGTGATGTGTCAATCATGATAATAATGTGTCGACGTATTCTTACGTTTTTAGGATATCCTTATCTCTTTTGCGACCCACATGGATAGAAATTGACCTCGATGCGGTAAGTTCAAATGTTGTCAAACTCAAAGCATTCATCGGAGAGAAAGTGCATCTAATGGCCGTCGTCAAAGCTAATGCATATGGACTCGGCATGTTAGAGATAGCTCGCACAGCCCTTGCATCTGGCGCAACTTGGTTGGGTGTCGCTACATTAGACGAAGCACTTGATCTACGTCGCCAAGTCTCGGAAGACTGTCTTATTCTTGTTCTTGGCTATGTTCCTCCAGAATACTTACCATTAGCCAGTCGTTTTAAAATCACAGTGACGGGCATCTCTTTACAATGGGTACAGGAAGCGACTCGTTTCGTTCAGTAACCAATCGACTTTCATCTGAAAGTCGACACAGGTATGAACAGAATTGGTTGTAAGACATTAGATGAAGTGCAAGAAGTAATTAAGATTGTGTCCCTTAATCGAAATCTACAATTATCGGGAGTCTTCACTCATTTTGCTACCGCTGAGGATGTGAACAACAGAATCTATTTTCTACATCAACTTCTACGCTTCTATGACTTTCTGGAGATCATTCCAAATCGAAGAAAAAAAATTATTCATTGTGCGAACTCAGAAGCTGCTCTATATCAGATCGAGAGACCATTCTTTAACATGGTTCGATTCGGAATAGCATTGATGCGCCCGCCGAACGAATCATTAAAATACTTGTTCTCCTTCCGTCTTCAAACTGCGATTTCTCTTCATTCAACATTAGTCCTCGTGAAAAAAGTGAATGCTGGTGAAAAGATTAGTTATGAAGATGAATACACAACGACAGAAACTGAATGGATCGGTACTGTACCTATAGGATATGGTGATGGATGGCATCAGAATTTCAAAGCAACTGGTGTTCTCGTCGAGGGAAAGCGATTCCCGATCGTTGGAGCTATCACCATGGATCAACTTATGATTGGTCTTGACCGAAAATATCCGTAAGGAAGTCGTGTGACATTTATTGGACAGCAAGGCAGCGAAACGATAACTGGTGATGACGTTGCTCTGTATGCAAAAGTGTCGAAACGAGAAGTACTTTGTTCCCTCATGAACCGCATACCACGTATATACAAATAAAATGTATTAATCATAAATGGTAAAAACACCTTATTCAAGCTTCTGAATCTATAAGGAATGGTACTTTGCATTTTGTTTACACGTCTATAATAAATCTGCATGTAGTTGAACATACTTTCATAACTAACTTTTCGCTAGATAACAGATTAGATTTGTGAACAACTGATCAATCATCAAAATTAAGTATGACAGATTTCACATACATTATTTCTTTGGTAAGGAACGCCTGTTCATTTGAGAATTGTTGAAGTCAATGTGGATGTGAAAATCTTCTCTTCACTTCAACTGTGTGTTCTTCATTTAATACTCTCTGTTCTCTTCGTATAATATACTATCATCAAGATTTCTGTATCCATCAACTTCAGAAAGATTTATTTGATTTTACTTTAGATTGAGAAACAAAAAGTCTCCTTAGTGTTTGCACTTATTTCATCTTTTCAAGATACACTTTGGCTTCGTTATGTACGGATTATATAAATGGTGTGATGATAAGATGCATGTACAGATCATCACAAAGCCTTGAGATAAGATGTCTTGAATACACAGAAAATGTCGGTGCACAGAAAGATACTAGTTGTAATCAAATACTACTAATAGTACAACTCTTGATCAACACGATGCAGCCGTAACCAATAGGTAGGAACGGTAAGTGAGCTCACTCTTCTCTTGAATACCCACGTAAACCCGTGGTGTGGTGTGAGTGTGGATGTATTTATGTAAGAATAATTCCATGCACTGTATAATATGCTTCAACTATTGCACATACAGGCATCATCAAATGTCTTTAAAGCGCAACATAATTCATATTGAAACGAATGTGTTGCCTTCAGTCGAACGGTTATATCGGAGTTCCAAGGAATAGAAAGATGTAATATGAAACTGAAGAAGGCATCATCGAATTCGATTACTGATTAGATGATTGTGGGTGTATGCATTCATTAGGCTTCGATGAATGAGGTGCAAAGAAGGCTGGACTGATGCGTAAATGTGAAGATTATCATTTGAATTCTTCTCGTTAATATCTCGGGATTTTCATCGACAATCTGTTCGACTTTCTCTGCTACTGATGATTCTCATTGTGACATCGTCTTTTTTTGTTGGAAATGCTGTTACACGTCTGTATGCAAGAAATTGAGTTTTGTTTCAATGCACCTATGTAACAGAGTTCGATCCTGAAATCGAACAGAAGACTTCTTTATTAAGACAAATTGCAACTGTATGCTACATTACAATAGAAAATGGTATATCTTCATATATACACCCCTGACCAAAGGTCTTTCCCTTGTTGTCCTTTCGTTTTAAAGTCTTTGATATCTGCTTCTTTGTGTAATCAAACTAAAAGTATAAAAAAAAGCTTTTTTTTTTTAATTTTAATTTGATGTGTAGCCCATAATTCTTTGAGTCACGGAACTTTCTCGTCTTCCCATATTATCGATCAGTTTGACAGTCAAGTCAATTGGCGAACTTTTTCATGGCTTTCTTATTTCTTGTTCTAATTCTTGAATTGTTTGAATTTTCATCATCGACCAAACATATTCAATCTGATCATGATCTGATGAGGAAAAGGACGAAAGTAGAATCTGAATTTATTTTTTAGTCTTTTGTGTGATCATCAGACAAAACCTGTAATTAGGATCATTATCCTCTTGCAAGATATAGTTAGTTAGCTAGAGGGGGTGTAGGTATGGATGCAAGAGCCGGCTACCTATTAGATAACATTCACATCTACCTACATTCTCTTGCCTCAATATTCATTCTTGTCGACAATTCCAGCAATACATTACGGTGTTTTTTCTTCCACATCTGATGTGTGCTCTTATTAGCCACGACGATAAAATAAGTAATGTAGATCATGAAAGAATAAAACTAAGAATCAATTGTGAAATTTAAGCAAATAATCTCGTTTAAAACGGCTTGAATTTTAGCTTAAAAAGTGTTTGGTTTGTGGGAGTACATTTCAAGCAGTTAGACTCAGAAATGCAAGCATGTTAAATTGCTTTTAAGTATCAAATACTAACGATTCAAAGTGTGTTGATGATCGAGTACCATGCTCATCTTACCATGTTCGTATGTACTGTAACACCAGTAAATTAACTTTGAAAAGATTCAGATACCTTACACATTGCGTACCTACTTTGTTGACATCAATAGTTCAATTAGATTCTTTCATATTCAATCCATTATCAGTTTGAAAGATCACAAAATCAAGGCATGAGTTTCTTGAAATAGATGGTCTTGATAATGTTCTGTGGAGCATTAATATTTTGAGAAATTGATAACTTTACATTACAAACTTAAAAAATGATGAAACTTTAAATATGAGATAATTTAATTGAACTCTTCATGTTTACGAAGTTACAAGTCAAAGTTGAAAATTATGCTTGTCGTCTTGACATTCTTCGTCTTTGATTCTCCTTGATTTGATATAGATAGATGATTTTCAAGATACTAAAGAGAGAATATTTGAAATCGAGAGAGGACTTAGTCAATTTAATTAAAAGAACAAGCAGTTACATCCGGGTTCTGCAATAGATAGTCACTGAATTTTTACCGTTGGCCTGATACATCTTAATTTTTTATTATATTTAACAAATGAGAGTGAATGGGAAAAAGAAGGGCTATCGAACTCTAATGCTTAAAATCTCACTGAAGGCTGTTGGATCTTTAATAATTCGGTGAGGATCCTATAAGACCTAGTTGGATTCATTAATGGAAATTTGTCGGGTCCGACAAAATTCTTTTCTTGTTAAACGTTCGTCGAATTCCAAGTCCCTGAGTTCTGGACTCAATCCAGTAGAACTCGATCAGATTGAGTTGAAATCTGACTAGACACAATGATTGGATTTGTTGACCAGGACAAATAAGATCTTTTGTGTCCCTCATGAACTTCTGAGAGCAAAGACTGAGGACAACTGCCTCTTGAATTTTATCCCAACGATCCTTATTCACCTTCAGGATAGATAAGAGAAATTGACTAAGACGACTTTATTATTCTCCTAGATCACTATTTTCTTTTCTCTGAATATATGATCGCATCTCATATGTGTGTGGAGACAAGAAATGTTTAGAAAGTCTTAGATTCATTAGGATTGAATGCTTCTCTTCGTAGCACGACTCGTTTCATCGATGTCGCCGTTTCTTATTGCGATTTCATCTTTCTTCGACTGGCTTTAACATTACTAATGTAATAATCCTAATGATTCATTTATTTTTGAACTTTTGAAAGATGAAAAGAACGACTGTTGATTATACATGTGAGATATTTTTAATTTTTGCATAAGTTCATTAGAATAATTCTTCGATCATTGAAAACACTTTAAAACTTTATTCGGTACATCGAAATCGACTATCATGCCATTATCCACAGCTAGAAGACGGTCGCTACCGATTACTGTATTCAAACGATGTGCTATTGTTAACACTGTTCGATTCTTAGTTATTTCTGCAATGATCGATTGTAGCATTTGATCAGTGTCGTTATCAACATTAGCCGTTGCCTCATCAATCAATAATATTTTACTTGACTTGAGAATAGCTCGACAAACGCAAATTAATTGACATTGACCAATGCTCAAGTTACTACCCGATTCTGCCACTGGCATTAGAAGACCCGCTGGATGATGAGAAGCCATTGATTTTAGTTGTACAGCTTCGAGTGCCGTCCAACATTGTTCATCCGAATAAGCATCTAACGGATCGATGTTGGATCGAAGAGTTCCAGCAAAGAGCACGAACTGTTGTGGAATGACACTGATATGAGAACGAAGATGGTTCAGTGTAATACGACTTATATCAATATCGTCAATTAAAATGTTACCATCGATGGTCGATCGATCAACTAGACGTAATAGACTTTGAAAGAGAGATGATTTGCCTGCACCTAAATTTAATAGAACGTGAAAAATCTCACGCTAAAATGAGGCATCTTTCACAAACCTGTCCGACCCATAATTCCTATTCTTTCACAAGGTTTGATTGCTAGATTGATATTTCTCAGAGCTGGTTCGAGATTAGATCGATAACGTAGTGAATAATTTCGAAACTCGATCGCTCCGCGATTCGGCCAATCTGTTGGAGTTCTGATTAATCTTTTAGAGCCTCCGTTGTCTTCTTCCTGTGATAAACGTGCATATTCATCAATACGTTCTGCACTAGTCATCAAATTTTGGGCTTCAGTCAATCGACGCATGCCAAACTGAAACCAATTATTTATATTAATGGTATATAACAAACTGAGTATCAGCAGTTCTGGATTCGCTTTATTACGTAAAACGACAACAAAAACTCCAACGAAAAGCGTGAGCAAAGTTGTCATAAGATCGATTCGGCAGCAAAACCATCTTGTAGCACCTGCCATGTATAGATATGGACGTGCATTGGCATCAACAACAGTCATAAAAGAACGAATGGCGGCGTTTTGAGCTTTGAATGCACGAATAGTAGCTAAGCCATTGAGTGATGATACAAACAGTCCAAAAATAGGACTGCGTGTTACGCTTTCCATGCGTTGAAGTTGTTGACTCGATCGCAAATAGTAACGATATAATAGCCAAAATCCAGGTCCTAAGAAAATAAATACAAGTATCATCCATGGATTGATAACGATAATGAGGATTACAGATCCAATAGTCATGATTAGTACTTGTATAGCATCGAACAATGTTGCCGGTAATATCTCGTCTACGACTTGTTGATCTTTACTCACGCGATTGAGAATTCGACCACTTGGATTACTTTCGAAAAAGCGCATAGATGTATGTAATAGCCCAGAAAGCATTCTATTATGGAAATGATTTGAGCCATTCAAAAGCTGGTAAAAAAAGAAACTACTACGTCCCACTGCTACAATTGATATCGCCATAGTCAGAACAAAATATCTAATACCAATAGATCTATCAAAACGTTTATTTTCCGACTGTTGAGACGACCGAATAAGCCAAAGATAGGTACCATCATAGAGGATTTCACCGATTACAAGAAGAATGATCATAAAACATAAGCCGAATGATCTTAAAGGAGGTGCAATAAACAAAGAGTACCACAAAGAACAGCTGACATTATGACTATTTGATGCTTCGCTAACTATAATGGATTCACTGGCAGTAGATGATTGCCATATATCTAGCATAGCCGGCGATATTACTGTCTCCCCGTCAACCTTGCTTTGGTTTTCATAAAATTTCTCATGCTCAATCTCTAATTCGTCGAACCGACCTTGTGCTTTAATATGACCATGAACGAGAATAATCGTTTGATGTGTATCAGTTAAAAAGTGTGTTTGATGTGTGATCAATAAACGTGTTTTGTTTCTCAACAAACTATTCGGGCCGATACATCGATCGTAGATTCTTTTTGCTACAATACGATCAAGGGAAGCTAATGGATCGTCAAGAAGATAGATGTCAGCGTCCGCGTACAATGCTCGAGCCAGTGATACACGTGCTTTTTGTCCACCACTCAGATTCATACCCTTTTCACCTATAATTGTTAGATCTCCACACGGTCCCAACATGATCAAATCAATATCGAGACAACAAGCCTGTATAACACTTCTATAACGTTGCTCGTCATATGGTTTTTCGAAAAGAATGTTGGCGCGCAGTGTATCAGAAAATATCCACGGAAATTGGGCCGCGTAGGAAAAAGAGCTATTGTTTACATTGATTTTCCCGTTCGTTTGAATTATCTCACCAAGAATGGCTGCAAACAACGATGATTTACCGGAACCAACCACTCCAGTAATACCTACAAATGTGCCTGGTTTAATATCAATATTGAGTGATGAAAGACAGTCATCATGACCATTCCATGAAAATGAAGCATTCCACATCGTAATTGCTCCTTTTTGCTGATAATGATCGATGTCAAATGTATGCAAAGTTCGATCTCCTTCTTTTATCATTAGCTGAATGAGTCTGTCAATTCTTTGCCATGCCAGTCGAAGGTCGATAAATTTTTCGATCGCCAATGGTAAAGCATACATGATAGGATCACGAATTTGACTATAGAATCCAAGAGTTATAAAGATATCAATTACTTTTAACTGACGTCCAGTAAACCAAGCACCGACGTATGTAGAAAACCCAATCAAAGGCATTGCTGCGAAGAATACAGCTACATTAATAGCACGAAGAAAAGATGTACGACGAATAGCTGCTAGTTCAAGTTCACGTATTCGAATTACACGAGTCTCAATATACTTTTCCCAATTATAAATTTTGATTGTTTGACACCCATTGATAAATTCCTCAAATGCATGTATACGTTGGTTAGTATATGTTACTATCTTTTCACGATAGCGACTAAATTGTTGTCCTAATATCATTTGTAGAGGAATCAGTAAAATGAATGTAATGTAGCTGAACAATGTTGGCCAAAATCCGATAGCCCACCAGAGTAGCCCAAAGAAGATTATAGCTATTAATGGAGCTTCCCATAAATAGAAAACATTTTTGAAAAATTCGTCAAATTTCGCTATGTCGTTAGTGACAATACCAATAACATGGTTAGTGGTCATCTGGTACAATGTTGCTGTATTAATCGACAGAAGTCGTGTGTAGATAGTGGATAAAAGTAAACTTCGAACTCTCGATTCAAGACGAGATGCGCAAAAATACATTTGATGAAGGATAAGAGCTTGAAAAAACGCACAAAGAAATAGCCCAATAGCGTAAAAATATCCACTACTAACTGATGCTGAAGATTTTGTTTGGAAACTTCGATGATCTTCAATATACAAAATTAATCGATAAATAAACAGTGCCTCGACAATACCAAAGATCATTAGAAACAACAAGAGACAGTTGACTAGTGTGACTTGTTTCCACAATGCTCTGAGAAATATTTTCCATGTTGTCTCTTGGCCCCATTTGGAATCCTTTATCATATCGTATAGTATAGAACATTTATTTGTTTGAGGCAAATCATCGAGATCAATATCAGTCAATGTTTTTTTATAACCTAAGGACAAGAGCGGATTAATCCATCCGAAACTTATAATATAGAACCATCGAGTCCAGGATTCTTCAACCCACTCAAGACGTGATGATTGATGCTGCTGATGAAGATCTTTGTTGTATAAGGTTATTTTTCGATCAATTAACAGCTGCAGTTCATTGGTACAACATTCTTTCGTTTCTTCGTCCATTTCAAGAAATAACTAATGATTACGTGTCTATGATCTAAAACAAAAAGATTATTACAGCATCATAAACATTTCAAACTTGGATAAGAAGCTATTTTTAAGTGTCGTAAACTAAAAAATACGATTTCTCCATTTTTTATGCTTTTTGCTCGAAACTCTTTTTAATCCATGTAGTTTTGTAACTAATCGTGGAAGACACACAATTTTCTTCAGAAAGGAAGGATCTCACCTAAAGTCCTCCATAACATATTTGACATATATGCATTATGCCGCAAAAAGTTTATGAACAATGTATTGTTTTCGACAACATTAAGCACCGAGCTCGAAACAAAATAGTGATTTGAATAATTGAGAGAATCCTCCTGTGTGTAGATTTGTAAAATGACGATGCCATCATTCCACATCCATACTCTTCAAGAGGTCAAATATATTCAAATCCAATGGACAAAATCGAATTGAATTAAAATAGACTTAAATTATTGGAAAACTCAGCTCAATTTTCAACTAAAATATTGAGTGTAAGTTTTAAGTTCAAGTTTCGCAACTCTCTCTTCTCCTCTCTATTACAGAAATTTAACAATGGAAATCTCCATTACAAACAACCCCCATTACAGACCTTAGTAAGCAGCAATAAAAGACATCAGACTTTCAAGAGATTTTTTTTGTAAAATTGATCAAATCATAGTTTCGAAAAGTAATAAATGTCATTATTTGTGAGTTGATTTATATACACAAGAGTATTCAAGATCTTTTGTAGATATCATGCAAATATAAAACAAGCTTATTTGTCAGTTAATTCAACGCTTATAATTATAGAACTGTAAAATTAAGAAAAATGAATCAAAAAAAAAAAGAATAATGAGTGAGTAGAAACAACGAATATAAATAATAGGTTGCTCTCAGAGAAAAATATTTAAAAATACTCTTCGAAACGCAGTAATTAGAAAAGCTAAGATTTTAATGATTGATTATCCTAGAAAGCAACTATAGCCTAAGAGAAATGCTCCGCTTTGCTTTTTGTGTATTAGTTTAATGAGTCTAGCAAGCATATGTGAGTTCTACATTTCAGCTTCAAGCAGTTGCACTGACAAGCATTTTTACTTCAATTTTGTTTTGGTTCAATAAAACTTACATTAGTTTAAGTTAGGTTTAACTAATTTAAACTAAGTGCGTATTTATTTGATTGTTTCTGAAAAAGAAGCAACTTTTATTTGAGAAATGTGTTATTAAACATATGTTTAGTATTTTAAAACCAGTAGAAAAGGACAAGAACGAAGCACTGCTGTTTTACAAGAAACCTTGTGTTTTGGCAATCGCATTTTTACATGAGATATCAGATTTTTCTTTAGCTCCTTTTTTCCAGCGCTGTGTTTCAACGTAAAGAAATGATAGAGACATTGAAAAAGTGAAACCATTTAGATGATCTTATCGAATTTTTTTCTCTATTCCTTGCTCATGTCTTTACGTCATTTACAATGCTCTCTTTTGAAGGAGCATTTTCTTGTAACTAAATATAAAAAGACTATCAGAGAAGGTCATTATGTACATATATGCAAAATTTATTGTTTGTGCAACAAGTGTAAATGAAATGTAGCCTAAAAAAATCTTTGTTCCTCGCTTCGAGTTCGAATCGTTCATGCTTCTTTTTTACCTTTTACTGTAGTCATATATACCTAGTTTCTTACGCAAAAAATTCGATGTATAACAACGCAACACCATCGATCGGCAAATTGTGCTATGATGAAGTATCCAACGATTTCATCATGTCCCTATGTTGAATTACAATTCTGAAAATTTCGCATAAAAATCGCAAAACTATGATAAGAAGTTACAAAAAAATAAGCACCTTTAAAAACCTATATCCTAACTTGTTGAATTGTTGCAAACTTGTGGATCTACCACTTAAATAACACTGAATTGTATTGATGTTATTGTATAGATGGAATTAAAGCAATAGACTACTAATATGTACACAGTAAAAAAAAAGTAAACTTAGCTTTTAAGTGCAAATGCTCTTACTCGGATGAATAGAGAACGACATTTAGGTTGAATATTGCGTTTATTTCATACGAATATAATCGATTTCTTTGCTCTATCCCATATTGCTCATACCAATTATTCAACACTGATGAAGAGTTAGTTGAATGTTCGTTACCATGTGCTCTACACTGCATAATCACTTGTTTTTATTTTGTACGCATCATGCAGAATCGACAAAATATCATAATTTTGCTCTGAATCATCTCTCATTCAAAAGTATAGTCTTCGTCACAGCCAGTTTCAAACAATATTTTGATGCATGATCGAGACCGTCTGTTTTATATTGACAAATACAAATACAAATATTCTCTAAAAACAAGATGCTACATAGAAACTTGAAAGGTTCTATTTCCTGATAGTATTTTTTGAATCTTGAAAGAGTCCAGAAAAATCTAGTTTTATCTTGAACTTTTCGCTAGCTTCCACAAAGAAGATTAAACAACAAAATTCCTAATCACAATCTTCCCTTGGAATACATTTTCTTGAAATCAGTGAGTTCACTATGTAGGATACTCTTCGAAGTGGCACTATATTCTATTTAATGATCTAAGACTACTCTGTCAAACACGTCCTCAATAAATAACGATACATAATCTCAGTGAAAATGTTTATGAACTTCTTCATATTTATCGTCTCAACACCAGAATTATGTCTGCATACAGCTTGGTATCCTCAAAAATAAAACTCTCCATTTTTTTTATTTCAAATATATCTAATGAAATAAATTGTAATTATATTCATTAATAAAATGAATTTGAAAGTCATTCTTATTCGTTATGTCAGATGAACCTTGCATAATATATTTTACTTATACAATTTATGATTGATTTAGAATTGAAATCACTGTGATTTGATGAAACAAAATAATAGTATAGACAGAGATTTGTTCGTGTTTATCAAGTAAGAAATAAACTTACCATCAATGGGTTGGAAAGATGAGTCTATTGTTAGTAATGTAAATCTTGCGTATAGTCCAACTTGAGCTCCGGAATGATTCATTGCAAAAAATCAATCGATCATCAGAGATATGCACATGGGTTGAAGAATTAAGATGAGATTGAATTTTTCATGTTTGAGGGTAAACGAAGAGATATCTTTGTGTTCATTTAGTTAAACTTTCGTTCAGCTATTTTGGTGAAATTAATTTAAACGTAAAAGGATGTCGAGGTGTTGTAGGATCGAAATTTATGGAAAACACTTTGTGTTGATAGCTAGAAAAAGATAGATCTTAATAAATATCAAGTGGTTCCGGTTTGCAGTCGCCCGACGAGATTCATATATAGAATATAGAGTTAACATTCATTATATGAATAGAACTGACTATTATCTACTTCAAAAGATGATTATAAAGGAGACAATGAGGGATATTCCCAATTCATTTTTTGGCCACGAACATGGATATCCATGTTCGTGGCCAAAAAGTGAATTGTGAATATCCGTCATTATTCTTTTCACCATAAAAATGTTGAAATCATAATCTTTTATCACTAACTGGTTTATAAAACATTTATGTCACACTAAAATTCTTTTCTCAGATTTTATGTTGCAAAAACGAAATGCAGTGTTGAGATATAAGATGGCACTATTTCATTTTACTTTTTTTTGATGACAGATTCATGCTCTCAATATAAAGATTTTGTACAGTAGGTATGGAAGCCTCAAATTCTTATATTATTACTTTGATTCATCAAAAGTCTTTCATTCCCACAAAATAAGCATTGAGTGATTAGAAAAGTTTCAATAAAATGACAAGTGAAAAATTAATACGTCATGTTGATGTTTCAAAGTTGGATTAGACACAGTTTGTGTTTTATCTTTATTTTTCTTTGGAATGAGTAAAGCTACTTAGGTCATTCCAAAAGTAATGAGAGTAACGCTTTAATATCTTCTAGTAAAGTGAATGAGAGTTTCCTTTCGTATGAAACGATAGAGAAAAAAAACGCTCCATCTTTCTATGCTATTTCATCATACTTTAGTTCATATTATAATAGGCAAGTTTTCATAACATTCATTTTGGTATTATGTGTTTTGGTTATGACACTACATATAGTCATAGATATGGGCTCGCTTCTTTCTTTCTCTTATGTCTTTCTTTCTTATCTTTTCTATTCTCATGCGTCGCTGTGCATCAAGATAGACAT